TTGTGGGCTGTCAAAAGTTGTGGGCTGTCAAAAGCTGTGGGCTGTCAAAAGTTGTGGGCTGTCAAAAGCTGTGGGCTGTCAAAAGTTGTGAGCTGTTAAAAGTTCAAGGCAGCCACTTTGTTCACACTGCTGGAATCAGTTGCATCCAAGTGCACCATCACCATGGCAGGTCTGAGCAGGCATGTTCAAAGGGGCCATTTCCCCAAATGGAATAACTGCAAGTGTGTAGGAGAAAACCCCAAAACTTCAACAATGAGAAGTGTGAGCCAGGAATCGTCAGTTAGTGATGTGCCAAAGGAATATCCAAAAAGGGAAGCACAACATAAAAGGTAAAAACAGTCAAGTTTAATAACTACAAGAAGAACACACAAAACTGAGTAAATCCTCCAGGAATCACCACCAATTTACAAAATACCAGTAAAGTATCAGCAGCATCGAGGACAGCAGCTCTCAGACCTGTGTGAAGGCACACAGGATCCTGAGCAGATCCACCCTGGACACTGCTGGGGACAGGGACAGCAGCAATGTCCCGCAGATCCCTGGATCTGTACCTGGAACAGAACAACGACCATTTGATCCCAGACAGGAGGAAGAGGAAACACAACTGCAGATGTGTTCGACCATGATAGCTCTGGGCAGTACTTCCCACAAGAGAGCAACCCCTCACAGAGTTCTGGGAGCACACAGAGTCCCTGCCTTGGTCTGTGACACACCAGGGCACTGGTGAACCTCAGACTGTCACCAGCTGCAGTGACCAGCACCATCCACACCTGTCCCTCGTCCCTGCAGGAAGGGGAGTCGGGCTCAGCCTTCCTGCCCCAAGCACAGCACATCACACCTTCCCCAGCCTGTGTATTTGGGATTACCAGAAGGAATTCCCTCTACAACACGGCACTGGAACTGGAGCAGCAGCACCGTAAAGGCCTGTGGGGGAACAGTGTAAATGCACTAAACCCCTGTACAGGAACTGACCTCACAGACCATCACACAGGGGAACATAGATCAGCCTGCCAGGACCTGGCTCTGTACCTCCACACCCAGCCCTCCTGCACCACCATGTCATCATTCCATCACTTATCCACATAACTAAATGGCTTTGTCCATCCCTTTTCCCAAGGACACAGAACTGTCCAGTGAGGCCACAGACACTGAGGGCTCCGAGCTGCCTTCAGGTGTTTTGTCACAAGGCCTCACGCGAGGAGCCCCTGGCAAAGCTTCTCAGCCCCTGCCACCTGCAGTCAAATTCATTATCCAGCCCTGGACTGTCAATCCAGGAAATCCAGAGCTCCACAGCCACTACTGAATTCCACCAAATCTGCTGCTCTTGTGCCCCAGGCAAACCAAAAGCACAAACCAGAGGATCCTCAAAGGCACTGGGCTTCTCCACACCTTCCTGCCAGGTGCTTCCAAACCTTTGTGCTGCAGCAGGTCAGCCCAGGCTCAGTGGAGCTCATGGGATGTGCTGCATTCCTGCCAGGAGCAGCTCCAATTGTGCCTCCACCTGACACAAGTCAGGACACAAACCCCAGGACAGCCTCACTTTCCAACCTGGCTGCACACGAGTGAGGACAGCACGGCTCATCTTGCCCTGCTGATGCCTTTTTTAGGCTCTTTTTCCCGCTTTCAGCCTAAAGCACAGTGGGAACAGCCAACAGAGAACCTGAGGCCTACCACCAACAAAAGCAGTTGCAATCCAACTGGAACAAGCAACCTCTGATCCACCTGGCCCTGGACCAACTCACCTGTCTTATTCACACCCAACCAAACTCGAGGGCCAGTGAGCTGCATGGCCGGACTGTCAGTGGGAGCATTGCTGGAGGAGCTCTTCCTACAGCACCCCAGCACCCGCCTGCTGCCCCAACAACCTGACCCTGGGGAGCGCGACATCACGCACACGAGGCTCTCCCTCTCCCACAGTCCCCGAAGCATGGCACAGCTCTCCGTCTGGTGCCCCAACAGAGCACCCACAGGTGCTGCCAGCTCAGCAAAGCAAGCCCTACCGCAGGTAACTCAGGTCACCTCTGCCTCGTCTGCCCGGAGCACGCGGTGCACGCGCTCCTCGGGGCTGTAGAACACCTGCCCACGGCGCAGCCGCGGCTCGTCCTGCTCGTACCAGCGCTGCTCATCGAACTCGGGGAAGAAAAAGGCAATTTCTCTGCTGGCTGAGGCGGGTGAGTCTGTCAGAAAAGAGGAAAAGGTGATGGGAGATGCCTGCCTGGCACCGCGAACACGTGCTGGGCTCCAAAGGCACCTGGTGCGCAGAGTCTGCACCAGGGAACACATCGTCCACTTGGAGCCCCAGAACTAAAGCAAAGGCAGACAAAGCACCATCGTGCCTGCCTCCCTGAGCACCAGCCAAGCAGGACAGGCCTACCTGAGCCATGGGTGGTGTTCCTGGTGTCCGTAAGGCCGTAGGCTCCTCGGATGGAGTCCGGGTCACTGTGTCGGGCTCGGAACACTTTGGTGGGTCCCATCAGGGATCTCCAGCGAGGGACAGCGTTCTCATGGGCCAGGATGTAAGCCCACATGGGGCCACTGCGGGAAGGGCCCAGGAGAAGCAGAAGAAAAGGTTACGAAGGGAACAGCTCGTTCGTCCTTGGAAACCTGCACAGTGCGGCTGCCAAGGGCTGCTCTGCCGGGACCCCGGGAAGGGGCACGGACCTGTCCTGCAGGACCCCGACACTCCTCACCCTGCGGCCGGAGCCTTCCAGCTCCGCACACCCCGCACACCCTCCGCGGCTCCCAGCGGGGCTCCCATCGCCGGGCGGCCCCTCCACGCGCGGGTCACCTGCAGCGCGGGGCCGCCCCGCACACCTGCGGCAGGTACCTGGCCATGAACTCCACGAGCCGCTGGTAGAAGAACCGCCCTGCGGGGAGACACGGGCCGAGTCAGCGCCGGGCCGAGGCAGCGCCCCGCTCCCGCAGCCCCGCAGTCCCGCCCGTACCCGCGTGCTCCCGGTAGAAGCGGCGGCTCTGCTCGGGGCCGCACCGCAGCTCCTTGGCGCGCACGATGAGGAACCGGTGGCGGAGGATGGCGGCGTGCACGGCCTGAGGAAACAGGGGCGTTGCTGGGCGGGCGGGCCGGCGCGGTGCCCGGCGCGGTGCCCGGCGCGGTGCCCGGCGCGGTGCCCGGCGCGGTGCCCGGCGCGGTGTCGCCCTGCCCTGCCCGCCCGTCCCGCCCGGCGCTCACCTCCCGCACCAGCGGGTGCGCGACCGCGTCCGGCTTGAGCAGCGCCAGCGTCAGCTGCAGCCGCGGGGCCGCCATGGCCGCGCCGCACGGGCGGGGGCGGGGCCCGATGGGGCGGGGCGGAGGGGAGGCGGGGCGGGGGCGGGGCCAGGAACGGTCCCCGCGCGTTGCGTGGCAGCGGGGACGCGCAGGCGCGGCCATGGCGGCGGCGGAGGGGCCGCGGCCGCGGGAGCGGGAGCGGGAGCGGGAGGAAGCCCGGGACGGGGCGCGGGACGAGGCCGCGGCCGGCGCTGAGGAGACGGTGAAGATCATCTGCCTGGGCGACAGCGCCGTGGGCAAGTCCAAGTGCGTGGGGGCGCGGGGGGCGCGCGGGGTCAGCGGCGGGGCCCGCGGGCTCACGGCGGCGCGCGCTCTCTCCGCAGGCTGCTGGAGCGGTTCCTGCTCGACGGCTTGTATCCTTGGGAGCGGGGGAGCGGGGGAGCGGGGCCGGCGGACGGGGGGGCCCGGCGGAGCGACGCCGGTGGTCGCGGCGGAGCGGGGTCGGCGCCTCTCCCTGGGCTCCTTAACGCGCCGCAGCCGCCCCCAGCAGCTCTCCACGTTCGCGCTGACGCTGTACCAGCACCGCGCCCGCGTGGGCGGGCAGGAGGTCCGCGTGGGTGAGTGGGGACAGCCGGGGTGCGCCCGGGGACGTGGCGGAGGGAACGGCTGGGGAGGGCGGAGATCTCCTCGCTCTGGATCTTGGTTAGGCTTTTAGATAGACTACAATATCCTGATGAATCCGGTGGCCTTCTGTGACGGGACTGCAGCGTTGATGGATGGGGCAAAGCGACTGCCATCATCCCCCTGGGCTTGGCAAAGCTTTGGGCACTGTCCCCACGATATCCGGGGCTCTGAGCTGGAGAGACAGGGGGATAGGTGGGTGGGTGGACGGATGGACACTCGGGGGATGAGGAACGGGCTGGACGGCTGCATGCGGAGTCGTGGTCATGGCTCATTGTCCATGTGGAGACCAGGAGGAGGGGGGTCCCTCGAGGGTCTGTCGGGGTTGGGGCCAACACTGTTCAACATCTTTGTTGTGACAGGGACACTGAATGCAAATGTGGTCTGATGGGGACCTGTCTGTATTTAGGCATTTTAAGAAGTCACCATCCTGCAGGTCTGGCCCAATGTCCAGTCAGACACCAATATTAGAGCAGAGGAATCCCTAAGAAAAGTGGCTTACAGCCTACTGGGATTTGGGTGCAGCAGCACGCTTGGGTCCAGCTGACAGAGGTGTGACCACGTTGGGGTGCTTAGCTGAAGCTGTGCAGATTTATACAGCAAACTAGACCCAGATGTGAGCCTACAAACCTGCAGAAGGCATTGCAGGATCCAGGTGTACACGGAGCTTCATGGGCTGGGACCTGTCTGCCTCAGGCTGACTTACCTCCAGCACTTCAGAGCAAGTCCTGCCCCTGGGAGGCAGAGCTGGATATCTGCGAGAGGAGATACAGCATTGCCTTTGGCAGGACCCTGGCTGACCATCACTGGGTCAGAAATCAGCAGTTTCCAGCAGCTTTTGGAGGTTTAGTTGGTTTCCCATTGTCATCCCTAGTGACAGAGGGCCAGGCATTGCTGCTGTTCTTTGCACTTCTGCCTGGTTTCATCCTGCTGTCCCATACAACTCGTGTCACTGGTGTCTTCTCCTTTGCTCGTGGCCAGTGCCAGCACAGCCCTCAGCTGAGCCCAGCTAAGGAAAGTTCCCAGCTGGGCACGATCTCATAACCCTCGAGTGTTTTGGATTGGTGAGGTGAAACCCAATTTGTGACCCGGAGCAGGTGGGCTGGGCTCTGCCTCCAGGGGGTAAGTTGTGAGGAAAACAGAGTGACTTGTGTCGTTCTGAACTGTTTCTGTGTTACAGACTTCTGGGACACAGCGGGCCAGGAGCGGTTCCAGAGCATGCACGCCTCCTACTACCACCAAGCCCACGCCTGCATCATGGTGAGGGAGTCTGGGCCGGGAGCTGGTGGGATTTGGGCTCGGAACGGTCCCGGTGACACTTGGCCTTTGTGTTGCTTTTATGGTTATGCTGCCATTTATTCCTTGTCTCTTCCAGTGGTTCAAAAAATTTTCCTAGATTGTTCTTTGTTCTCTCACCAGATAAAGCCCCTGTAGCTGGGCTTGCTTAGCTCTGGTCTGTCTCTCCTGGCAGTACTGTCCTCCATCTCCTGGCTCTGCTGTCCTCTCAATGTCCTCACATTTGTCCCTGTTCCCAGTTTCATGGCTCCTCACCTGCTCATGTCTCCTGGTTTGTCTCCTATTACTCCCACTTTCCACTGCACCTCACCACCTGGGAGCATGAGTCGCCTTCACTGGTGCTTTAGTTGTCAGAGGAACTAAACAGAGATGAACAGAGAACAGAGGATGCCACATCTTACCCTGCTGGGCACCGACTGTTCCCGGTGCTGGCTCCCTGTGTTGGTGGCAGGAACTTGTCACAGGGCACAGTCACAGTGTAAAGGACATCAAGGGGCTGTTTCCTGCTGGCTGCATATACTAGGGCTTGTGGATACTCTCCCTTTCTCTTTCATCCTTTCTAACAACACCCAGTTTCCTTTGTCATGTCCTCCTGGGAACATTCTGGATTCTGTCCTTGTGTTGCTCAGAGATGTCCCAGGCTGCTCGGAGCTGTCCAGGGTCAGTCACAGCTGTCCTGGATTGGCCCTGGCATAGCTGGTTCTCTTTTGGAAGGTGTTTGATGTGCAGCGGAAGGTCACCTACAAGAACCTGAACAGCTGGTACAGGGAGCTGAGGGAATTCCGCCCGGAGATTCCCTGCATTGTGGTGGCCAACAAGATTGATGGTGAGTGTACCTTCTGCACCCAGCCTCCCAGGGTTGTGGTGGGATTCACTCTTATGTCTCTTGGGTCCAGAGGATTTCCTGAGTCCCCTGGGCTGGGTCCTCTGCTGATCTCGCCTGCTGTCTCACAGGTGGTTTTCCTATGTCACCAGCAGTTAAAAATGCAGATTGGATCCATTTGAGGTTTATCCCAGTGATGTCCTTTCAATTCCTTCCTTACCACCAGAAAGAACCCAAAGGTGATTGGAGCAGCACCTGGTCAAAAATGGCAGGAAAAGGAGAAAAAGCTGTTTTATGGCTTCCCCAGATCACTCAGGGATGGCCTTGGTACCCCTTCTTCAGCCTGCACAGGCTCCTCTGTGCTGAAGTGCCTCAATGTACCTGCTGGCAAAACTGTTCACCTGGCTCTGCAGGTGGCTGGAAGGTTCCCTCCCGTTGGGAATGCCAGCCAGTCCTTCAAGATTGCTGGGGCTGTGGCTCTCTGGGTCCTGTGGCAGTGCCTGGTGTGGCACCCAGGGGACGCCCACCCTCGGGATCTCCTGCCCTGTCTGACTGACCCTGTCTCCTTTGTCTGCCCCAGCGGATATGAAGGTGACCCAGAAAAGCTTCAACTTTGCCCGGAAGTTCAGTTTGCCCTTTTACTTTGTGTCTGCTGCCGACGGCACCAACGTGGTGAAGGTGAGATGGGCTGGTTGACTGCTGGGCTCGGTGTCCGTGGGGCCCCTCAGCAGCCCAGGGACACGGGGGCTGCTGTGGGCACGGGCAGCGGCAGATGGGCTGGTCCATCAGTTCAGCTCCCTGAGGGGCTGGTGGCTACCGAGTTTGCAGAGGTTCCCTTGGGATTTGGGAACAGTCTCCATCTTCTACAGAAACCCAGTGCCCATGTGCCCGATCCTGGGAGTGATGGGCCTTGTCCTTTCCCCCAGCTCTTCAACGATGCCATCAGACTGGCCGTGGCTTACAAACAGCACTCGGGAGACTTCATGGACCAGGTCCTGCAGGAGCTGGAGGTAGGGAAGGCTCTGTCCCTGCTCCCTCTTTCCTGCAGGAGCTGGAGGTAGGGAAGGCTCTGTCCCTGCTCCCTCTTTCCTGCAGGAGCTGGAGGTAGGGAAGGCTCTGTCCCTGCTCCCTCTTTCCTGCAGGAGCTGGAGGTAGGGAGGGCTCTGTTTCTC